GTTGTTTTCATATTGACTCCCTCATTAGACTATGAGCTCCCTGAGAAGAGGAATTGTCTTGTTGTCTTTCATTGTGCCATTTTCACCAAGCTTAGCACAATGCTTGGTACATAGTAGACACTTAACAAATGTTCATCGATTGAGAAATTATTATTTTAAAACTGCTCCCCATATACATTTTTCCAGCCTTCTTTTAACATGTTTTGTTGTTCAGTTGTTTATAGTCATGTCCAGCTCTTTGCGACCCCATTTGAGGTTTTCTTTTTTATAAATAATAAATTTATTTATTTTTAGTTTTCAACATTTGCTTCCATAAGATTTTAAGTTCCAATTTTTTTCCCCATCCATTTGAGGTTTTCTTGGCAAAGATACTGGAATGGTTTGCCATTTCCTTCTCAGATAGCTACCACCAGGGCCTCATTATTTCAGCTTGGGATCAGCTCCCTAACTGATCTTTGGGACAGTCCCCCCTCTTTTAATTTCATATATCCTTTTTACATATATCAGTAACTAAAGTTAGCATAAGAAAGAGTAGTGTCCACATATTTTGTCCTTAAATATGTCTCTTCCTCAATGTTTTGACTTCCATTTGGTAATTACCTTTCTTTTCTCATTTTTTAAATATGCAATCTTGACATCCTCATTTTGTAAGCATGCAGTCTTGTCATCCTTTTCAGCTTCTCCCTTTCAGCACCTCTTTGCCCCTGTCTCCAAGGATTATCATTTCTTCCTTCATAATATCTTTTAAAATTCATCTTACTCCCTAGAACTAAACTCCTTTTTGCATACAAGTAACCTTTGTTATTATAAGTTTCCTTGATTCTTTCCTAACTTTATGCCAATCCATGTGAATAGCATTGCCCAAATCATCTCCTTTGGTTACTTCTTATACATTTCTTTTTGATCTGACTTCCCTACTTCAGGTTTAGATACCGATTTCCCTTCATTGTACTTATTTAATGATGATACTAATGATGATAACAATAACTCACGTTGGAAAGGCAGTGTAGTACAATGGATAGAGAACCAACCTGGGATCAAGTCTTACCTCATACATGGAACATCTAGGTGACTACAGAAAAGTGCCCCAAATGACCTTCTGATCTATTTTTGTCATTTAGTTGTTTTCAGCCATGTCCAATTCTCTGTGATGCCATTTGGAGTTTTCTTGGTAAAGACACTGGAGTGATTTGCCATTTCCTTCTCCAATTCATTTTTACAGATAAGGAAACTGAGGCAAACAGGGTTAAGTGACTTTACCAGGATCACATGGTTAGTAAGTGTCTGAGGCCAGATTTGGACTCAGGTTTTCTGACATCAGGACCAGTGCTTCATCCAGTGTGCCACCTAGCTGCCCCACTGATCTATAGAAATAGAAAGTGTTTCCACACTGAAAATTCCCCACATCAGTGAAATCCCAAGTCCAACCTACAACAAATGGATGAAAGAAAAACTCAGATTCATATAGTGCCTTAAAATGTTCGAAGTTTTCCTTACCAAAAGCCTGAAAGATACATAGTGCAAGAGTTACCTAAGACTCAATGATATAAAGTGACCTGCTGATTATCACACTACTAATGTCTGAGCTAGAATTCAAACCCAGGGTAACTACTCCAAGTTCTCTTCCCTGTGCATTGTGCCACACTGCCTGAACCCATACATAATGCCCTAGAGAACACCCAATGTCCCTTCCAACTTTGAATTCCCAGATCCCATGATCATTTATCCATTGGTCCATTTCATCCATTTGTAGCTTCTATTTTCTCTATGGGTTTTTACTTTATACCTGTGCTAAAAATAGTCTCATTGTACTAATCCAACCCAATGTATTTTCATCTTTCAAATACCTTCTCAAAGCCCACTTAGTCTATGAAGTCTTTTAGAAGGAAGAAAAACTAATCATCTAACATCTAAGAGATTCCTACCTTTTAAACCAAAGGTTTTTCATCTCATTGTTTTGAAAACCTGTTTCTTCATATTTATTTTGTCTAGAACCCCTTTGGGAATGTCTTTTGTTTCATAAACAATAGACAACACTGAGCAAATATAATGAGTTTACTTAGTGAAAGGACGTCTTAATATAATTTCAGGTTAGCAATGCAACAAGTGTTTTGGGGGTCTTGTTTTGGACTGAGCTATATAGCCAGTGAAGAAATAAGTTTTCTTGACTAGTAAGATTGGATCTGGGTCAAGTAGATAGTTTTGGTTGTGTTTGTGTTTAATCTAATAAAACTATCGTTTCTCATCACTTCTTAATAAAAGCATGATGCTAATTAACCAATTTGGTGGATCTTCCTCTGGCCCTCACTGCTGTTGAATGATGGTACCTTCCTGAGGCAGTCCATTCTACTTCTAGATAGCTTTTTTTTAAAATTTTTAGGCACTTGGGGTTAAGTGACTTGCCCAGGGTCACACAGCTAGTAAGTGTCAAGTGTTTGGTCTAAGATCGGATTTGAACTCAGGTCCTCCTGACTTCAGGGCAGGTGCTCTATCCACTGCGCCACCTAGATAGTTTTAATTAGAAAAAGGTTTTCCTTTGTATCAAGACCAAATTCACCTCTTTGTGACTTCCGTCCATTGTTCTGAGTTCTGCCTTTTGGGCTCTAGCAGAACAATTTTAATCCTACTTTAATGGTTGTTGTTGTTGTTATTGTTCAGTTGTGTCTGACTCTCAATGACCGAATTTGGAGGTTTTCTTGGCAAAAGTAATGGAGCGGTTTGCCACTTCCTTCCCCAGCTCATTTTACAGATGAAGAAACTGAGGCAAAGAGGGTCACACAACTGTCTAAGACCAGATTTAAACTCATGAAAATGAGTATTCTTGATTCCTAGCCCCATCCTCTATCCACTGTGCTTCCTAGTTGCCCTCTAACTTTCGTGTTGCACTCTTCATATACTCGGAAGCAGTTCTTACATCCTTTCTGTGTATTTCCTTCTATAGAGTGAATCCCTAGTTACATCAACCCATTATCTTATGGCATGAACTCAAGGCCTTTCTCCATCCTGGTTGCCCTTCTCTAGACACTCTCTAACTTATCTATATTCTTCCTAAAATATGGCAACCAGCTGAATGTGTTACTTCAGATATGGTAAGAGCAGAGTATAGGAAATCTTTCCCTTCCTTGTTCTAGATATTATGACTTTCTTAATATAACTTAAGATTGCTTTCATTTTGGCTGTCACATCACAATATTGACTACAATTTAGCTTGCAATCCATTAAAACCCCCAAAACTATTTCAATAAGGTTGTTGTCTAGTTGTATCTTCCTTATTTTATGCTTCTGAAGCTGATTTTCTGAACCAAATATAATACTTTATACTTACTAAATAAATTTCATGACTTACATGACCTGATGCTAAGTGAACTGTGCAGAACCACGAGAACACAATATATAGTAACAACATTGTGTGATGACCAACTTTGACAGACTCAGCTCTTCTCAGCAATACAATGATCTATGACAATTCCAAAGACTTCAAGATGGAAAAGGCTATCTACATCCAGAGAAAGAACTATGGAGTCTGATACAGATCAAAGCATACTATTTTCTCTTTTTTTTCTTTCTTGTGGTTTTCCTTTTTGTTCTGATTCTTCTTCCACAACATGACTAATGTAGAAATATGTCTAATATGATTGCATATGTATAGCTTAAATAGGATTGCTTGCCATCTTGGGGAGTGGGGGAGGAAAGAAGGGAGGGAGAAAAAATTTGGAACTCAAAAATCTCATAAAAGTGAATGTTGAAAAGTATCTTTACATGTAATTGGAAAAAATAAAATACTATTAAGTGGAATAAATAAATAAATTTTATCTAATTAGATTTATCTCAGCATTCTTATCTGTCATGATCCTTTTGGAATCTGACACTGTCATCCAGTATGTTAGCTACTCCTGCCAACTTTGTGCCATCTGCAATAATGATAAGCATGTACTGCATATTATTATCCAAGTCACCAATAAAAATATTGATTAGGAAGTACTTTTGAAATTATATGCTTCTTTTTACTTCCCCCCCCATTTTATTACTTGCCATTTCATGAATAGATCACATTTCTAGGCACATATTGCAAGTAATACAAATTCCCCATTGGCACTAAGAAAGCATAGATAGACCTTTTTCTTTGGACAGTTGTCAAAAAAAACCTCATTTGTGCTGATGTGCTTTTAGGAGTTGTACAGTTTCCTTACTGCCAGTCAATCATAACATACACCCACCAAGAGCTGAGGCCCAAGCAGACAGGCTCCTTCCATTAGGAGGAGCCAGAACTACCTGTAGCTTTTAAGGTATCAAAAATATCGCCAAAGCTCTGGGACCATTCCAGTTAGAATATCTGCAAGCTGCCCAGCCCTTTTTCCTGAGTCTCAAGCTAATGATGAAAGTAATGAAGTCAAGCCTTCCAATCTCAGACAGTTGCTTTGGTGCAAAGGAAAAAAAATCCTATTAGATCAGAGCTGAGAGGAAAGAACATCTATTTCATTGAGAACCCACAGCACAACTCCATTGTTTTAATTCAGTCTTGCTCTTCAGTTTTTGCCTGGTGAAAAGGCTCTAGCAGCTTAATGTGAAAAATAGTTGTATTATAGCCTAAGGATTTTAAATGAGAGGTTGAGTCTCCCCTTAGGACAAACATATTGCTCTAATTACCACTAATTGGAGTAACACATGAAAATCAGGGAGGGGGAGAGGAAAAAGATTTCTTAAGAAAAAAAACCTCTCTTTTTTTCTCCAGTTGTATCTTAAAGATCAAGGCTAACTCATAGATCCTGCTAAATTATTTTTGAAGCTTCTAAACAGGCCCCCATCTCTATAGTCATTGGATATATAGCCAAGAATTCTTTATCAATAATAAGCTCATTGTTGTGTGAGGAATTTGGGAGGGAGAGTTTTTTTTAATTGGGGGATATAGTGTTTGGAATATTCAATTGCCTCTCAAATAGAATCAATACGCTAAGTAAGACCTGAGAAGATGCATTTATGCTCATCTGTGTCTCTTCCAGAGCCAAAGATGTTTGTCTTGCTCTATGTTACAAGTTTTGTCATCTGGGCAAGTGGACAACCTCGGGGTAATCAGTTCAAAGGAGAAAGTCACTCCCCGAGGTATATCTGTAGTATACCTGGTTTGCCTGGGCCTCCTGGTCCCCCAGGAGCTAATGGATCACCTGGGCCACACGGTCGTATTGGCCTTCCAGGAAGAGATGGTAGAGATGGCAGGAAAGGTGAAAAAGGTGAAAAGGGGACCGCAGGTAATTAAAGTTAATCTTCAATGAAGTACTTCCCCTCATCCACACCCCCTTCCCTTTTTTCTCCTACCCCCAAACCTGGAAAAATTACCGTTTTTCTTTTGTTGTTGCTTTTGTTTGTTTTAATCACCTTGATCTTATAAGAATAATGTGTTAGATATAGCAGTTAGGAGCTTCTGTTTCTGACTCTGCTCCAAATTCGTGAGGGAAGTTATATAAGTTGTTGAGTTTTTGCTGGATTTCATTTTTCATGTGTGAAACAGCAACACTATAAATAATAGAGCTTAACTGTCCAATCTTATTCTTCACTGTTAGTCCACATTAGCTCTATGCCAGAGCTATCAAAAAGCAAATTTCTTGTGGCACCATAGAACAGCCTTATTATTCTCTTACTCTTTCATAACCTGAAGGCTAGATGGATACCACATAGTAACTGTGCCCTGTCCTATAGTGGAAAGAGCTTTGAATTTGGAATAAGAGGATCCAGGTTCAAATCCCAACTCTGTTATTGGCTACCTGCATGACTTTTGGCAAGTTACTTGCCTTTCTGAGTCTCATTTGACTCATTTGTAAAATGTTTCAAATGATCTCTAAGGCCCCTTCCAACTCTAGATCCTATGATCAAGCCATCTTGTTGGCAAACTGATTCAAAAATACTGGTTAAGAGACACTCTAGATGAATGAGTGATTGTGTATTAACTACCACTGGGTATTTCTGCCTCCAGGAAGGTCCTACTCTGATGCCTTTTCATGGCATGGAGATGACCCTGGGTTCTCAAAGAGTATGTCAGCAACTTTCAAGCTCTGGCAGGTTCTATCATACTGGAAGGGCTGCCATGATGGACTATGTGTTATGCAAGGAACAGCCTAGCTAAATTCAGAAAGCCTCATCACCAGAAGATTTGCCTTCAAAGAGATGGAATTCTTTTGATTACAGCAACCCATGAAAATGGTAGAGTATGCAATTGATGTCAGCAGAGGGAATGCCCACACTGATAAAATCATGGAACCTTGAAGTAATGAGCAAACATATATTTCTGAGTATAATACCCTGAGAAAATTATGAATAACTCCAAATCCAGACCTCAAGGGCATGGTTGTCTGGTAAAATCACATAGGATCTAGTAGGCCCACCTTCTGGAGCCTCAATTTCTTTAGCTATAAAATAGTCTTCTAAATTTAAGACTGTAATTCTATGACTTTATAAGAAAATAGAAATCAATATTTAGGAATGTGTTGCTAGCTAAACTTTGTAACAGTAAAAATAATATGTTAGCATCTATTTAAATAACATGGTATGGCAATCATATCTATACTTGCCATCATAAAAATGCTTTTTAATTCAGAACCTATGAAAACTCTGTGTTATTTACTATAGTATATACTTCTACTAAAGTGCCTTCGATTATGAACTGAGGTCCCTGCATTTCAAGAGATCTTGTAATGCAAGCTTTGCAGATATAAATTATTGTAAATGTTACGGGGAATCATGGATATGAGTATAGTTGAACTCCTTTGTAATGGTAATAGCCCTGATACTTGCCTCCTTGGCTAATCAAGCTTTTACTGCATATAGTTAAGTTTCATGGGATGTAATCTTGACCAGTAGCACACAAAAGTCATTTTCTACTAAAACTAATCATGAGGATTCTAGCATATGAAAATGGCTTTAGTGTGATTTATCTGAAGATGTCAGTTACACTATACAAACATTTATGTCGGTTCATACTATGTTAACATTTCTGAATTACTATGATAACCCTATATGAGTCTAATTCTGTCCCTCTGTGCAGAAAGGTTGTACAAAGGTGCCCTCATAATCAGTGCTTAGAAGGAAACACTTCCTATTAGCCCAAACATGGAGTACATCAGTAAGTCCCTGACTTATTAGGTTAGCATAGTTTGGGAAGGGAGTGTGATTCAAACCCAATGACCAAAAGAAAGCGCAGCTAGATTAAGTGATTTGTCCAAGATCAAATAGTATTTAGTGGCAGAGCTAAAACTAAAAACTCAGTTTTTCTGATTCCCATCTGGAAAGTCTAAATAATAATAATTGCTTATTATTATTTTATATAGCACCTACTATGTGCCAGGCAAGCACTTTACAATCATTGTCTCCTTTGATCCTGACAACAACCCTGGGAGTGAGAGGCTATTATCATCCCCATTTTACACATGAGGAAACTAAGACGAACTGGGTTTAAATGACTTGTGCAGAATCACATAGCTAGTAAGTGTCTGAGACTCGATTTGATCTCTGGTCTTCCTAACTAATGGTCTGGTATCTACCCACTGTGCCACCTGGCTACAAGAGTCTGGCTTCTTTTCCTGCTTCTGCTTTTGCTTTGTTGGAGGACTTCAGCTAAGTCACTTAGCCTCCTGGGACCTTGATTTCCTCATTTGTAAAATAAAGAAATTGGATTTGGTCTTCCCTTAGGTCTTTTCTAGTTCTAGACCTTCAACTAGACCACCTTGTAGATAAGAAGATGTTATCATTATGCAAAGAGACTTCTCACTGGGGGCAATGGGAGCTCTTTATAAATATGAGAATGGCTGCAGCTCTTCTATCAAAATAGCATTCATTACTTTAAATTATTCTCATTTTTTTAACCTTGTGCTAATGACAGAGAAAGCACTTAAAATTTAAATTTACAATTCTTTGCTTTCATGTTTAAAATGTGTAGCCATAGTTTTAGAAGAACTCATTGAGTTGGTACTGTATTATTAAAGCTACACCTAAAAGACATATTTTTAGTGACATGGGCTTCATAAGATTGCTATTTGGGAATCTTTCGCTGTCATGTTAACTAAACTTGTAAATCTTTTTGAAGGTTTAAGAGGCAAAGCTGGACCTATAGGACCAGCTGGAGAGAAAGGGGACCAAGGAGAGACTGGTAAAAAAGGACCTATAGGCCCAGGTGGAGACAAAGGAGATGTAGGCCCAATTGGACTTCCTGGACCCAAAGGAGACCGAGGAAATCAAGGTGATCGAGGTGCACCTGGTATCTGCAGATGTGGGAGCATCGTGCTCAAATCTGCTTTTTCTGTTGGCATCACCACCAGTTACCCAGAAGAAAGATTACCCATTGTGTTCAACAAGGTCCTTTTCAATGAAGGGGAGCACTATAATCCCTCAACAGGAAAGTTCATATGTGCATTTCCAGGAATCTATTATTTTTCTTATGATATCACATTAGCCAATAAACACCTGGCAATTGGGCTGGTACACAATGGGCAATTCAAGATAAAAACATTTGATGCTAACACAGGGAACCATGATGTTGCCTCTGGATCCACAGTGATCTACCTTCAACCAGAAGATGAAGTCTGGCTTGAGATCTTTTTCACAGACCAAAATGGCCTTTTCTCAGATCCAAGTTGGGCAGACAGTTTATTTTCTGGATTTCTCTTATATGTTGACACAGACTACCTTGACTCCTTATCTGAAGAGGATGAATTATGAAAGTGATTGACAGTCTGGAAATTTCCCTCCTTCATTATACAAACTGACATAGGATCTAATCTGGGAGCCAAAGATAGTGGAACAGCACTGCTATAATCTGAAGGAACTACCAGCCAGATTCTAAAGGAAACTATGGATGTTTTCAACAGAATCCATTGAAGCAAGATGCTGTACCAAACAGCTGGGACCACACAGAATGAATTATGTAGAACAATAACCCCAGATATGAATTCCCTTGAAAGCAATGTTCATAAATATTTAAACAAATTAAAGATAATGTCAACAAATTTTATATTAAATACATTGAGTGATAAAACCAGCTGGCAGTAGTATTGTCTTATTAAGCTTGTTGGAATTACTTGTTTTTATCAGTTATTTAAAAGAATCATAACATACAGCATAATGTCTTGGGTAATTCTCAGAAGGCAAAAATGCATGCCAAAAATAAAAGATAAGAGACACGAAGCATTTTCTACAATGCAAAGTGGCAAGTTAAAAACTGCTGGTACAAGGACCCCTGAGGTCTACTCTAACGTCCAATGCAAGGAGGAACGTCTCACCATTTTGTCTTTCCTTACTCACTCCAATTAAAACCAGCATTGCTACTTTCCATTCAGGTGAGATTAGACTCCTGAGCTGTTCGAATCCAGGCCTCAGGGATAAGAGGGTGTCAGCTTACTGAAATGGGTTTCCCAAAAGTATGATGAATTTCCAAACTCTTTTGACATGAAGTACCCATTGCACCTGTTTTCCCTGAGATTTCTTACAAATAAAGGCAATCCTACAGCTTAGTCATTAATTCTTCCTATGTTAACTGGGGTCTCCAACTCAACCCTAAACAAAGTCTACCAGCTTAATAAAAATCCTCTTTCAACCTTATATTTCTTTTCCTTTTGCTCTTTTTCCACTACCAGAATCTATCTTTATTCTGCTCCCCTGCCATCACCAGCCAATCAGGTCAATAATTTCCCCCCACCTACCACTACTCCCTTGGGTCACATTAATAGTGTGTCTATTTTTCCTCCCTCCTGGCAATATCATGTGATATTCAGCTCCCTCACCTACTTCCCTTCTATTCATCAGTTCCATTACTTTATCCATTTATATTTGTTCTCTCTTTTCCCTTTCAGTCTTTCCTCTTATCCAAATAAGTTTCCTTTGGAAACCAGTTCCCTTTTCTGACTTTTCTCCCAAATATTCATACTCTATATGCCTCATTTCTCCTAACCCAGGTCAAGAAATCTGGTAGATGAGGAAATGGAGACCTAGATAAAAGAAAATTTGAGGGATCATCTATGTTTAATTAATAGTTGAATACATGGAAATATATAATGTGATTTTTCCTAGACTCCTAGAAAGAAAAACTCAGAGGACTGAGTCGTTAGGACAACCACAGCCATCAGAATATGGAACCTCAAGAGGAGCAGCTAGAACCCAGTCAAGAAAGTCAGTAGCAGAGGCAACTGGGTTACACATTGAAAAGAGCTCTGGCATTGGAGTTAGGAGGACCTGAGTTCAAATCCGGCCTCAGACACTTGACATTTAGTATCTGTGTGACCCTCACTGCCTCACCAAAAAAAAAAAATGGCAAAGAAAATTCTAATATTATCTGACATTTTTATAGCACCTTAAGATTTGCAAATCACAGAACCATGGTAGAATTTTAAAGCTAGAAGAAACTTTAGAGCACATTTAGCAAAACCTCTTCATTTTACAAATACAAAACTGAGAATCATAAAGGTGAAAATAGCTTTCACAAAGTCCACAGCTAGTCAGCTGCAAAGACCAGGTGAGGGCCCAAGTATTCTGATTCACTGTCCAGGTAGTCTTTTACCACAACATTCTCACTATAAAGATACACATTGTGTTTGATATGTGTGCATGTGTATATGTATGTAATATAATTATACATGTATATTATATATACATTTATACATAATGCCCACATATTGTATTGTTATGTATATAATTTTAATTTATCTTGATTGTAATTTGCTAATGCAGGTTTTTTTGTTACTTAAAGCTATTTTTTAAAAAAATTCATTCCAAAACCCATTTCATTCATTTCAAGTTCAAGTTTCTTTTACTAGTTCTTAATCCAAAGGTGCATTTTGCTTTGAGAAACCTGGGGTGGAGGGAAGGGAAGCTATTCTAGCTTTTTTAAACAAATGAAGGTGTTTTGTACTTTTTCTCCAAAAGAATTTCCAAGGCACTCTTTTCTCTGTGCAAAAATAATAATAATAATAATCCAGTGGAAGAGATTTTAATTAAAAAATACCCATATTCATAATTATTTCTGAGAATTGCTTTGCTATATACACCACAGAATTTCCTATTTCAATAAAAAACCCATAGTCATAATTATTTCTGAGAAATGCCTTGTTATATACTCCACACAAACACGTTTCCTATAAATACATATTCTCATATAGCCATAAAAGGGTAGGAAATTCCAATGATATAAATGGCATTGTTTATGAAGTGAGTCTCTATTAAAAGCAATCTGGGCTTTTTCTCTGTGACTGTTATTAGGATTGGGGACATGAATTTTAGGTGGTGCTTTTTTAAATAAATTTTCTCCTTATTGTATCATATTTTTATTAATACATAAGATTCACTTTGACTAGTATTTATTCAACCCCTACTATGTGCAAGGCTCTATGCTGGGTTATGATATGAGATATAAAATTAAGATGACATATGTTGCCTGCCCACAAGGAGTTACATTGAAATAGGTGGATAAAATTCAAAATAAAGTCTTCTGGGAGGCCATGGGGAAAGTCATACTGGTGGGGGGGGGGGAGGTGTGGTCAGGAAATGAAAAACTTGGGCTGCACAATAGAACTTCAAAATAGCTGGTTAAAGAGTGAAAAAATTCAAACACTCTGTTGTTATGTGATTCTACATGATTTCAAACAGCTGTTTTGACTGAACATTTTTCCCCTACTGGGGTGATTGATTTTTTTTCATAACTGAATTGGCTGGTTATTTTCATGTTATGTAGATGTGGCCTGCTTGTAATTTTTTTAAACTGAATGCCATCATGATCTTAGTTCCTTCTCTTTAATTTTAATGAGTGAATAGATTATTCTCAGATAAAACACTTTCATTTTTCTCCAGACCGAATGATCCTTAATAGCGATACTATTATACATGTAACAATATAAGCAATCATCTTTCATAATTACAGAGAATGGGTAACTTTGAAAACCATTCATTCCATGGAACCCAGAAGAGAAGAATAAATCTAATTATTCACCCCTAGCTAACATAATGAAATCACAGAAATAGGAGATTGAAAAGATGTCTTAGGTCACTTACTATATTCCTCTCTTGAAGTTTCCTTCTCAACTCTTTGAAACAGTGCCACTTGAAATCAGTCAGTGAGATTTCCTTCATTTTTATTAGGAGAGAAATCATTCTTACTTTCAGAAAAGTGTTTGCTTTCTTCATGCTAACCCACTGTTCCCAGTTAATTTTTTCCCCTCACCCCATTGCTCATACATTGGTCAACACCATATAGCCACTATCAAATGGGTTGTAACCATAACATTCCTTGGGTGCAATTAATCCTCTGCATTCCATAGGCATGGAACTCTTCCCAGGCAGTGCATGTCATTTCCTGCCTCCATATTTTTGGACCACATGTGGTCCCCTCAAATACTCTCCCTCCTCATCTCTACCTATTGGAATTCTTTCCAAGCAGAGCTCAAGTATTACCTCCTATGGGAGGCTCTCCCTGATTCCTCCAAATCATTGGTACTTTCTCCTTCTTGAAATGACTTTGAATTATTCTGTACTGTATTGACATTTTTATATCCCTACATATTTCCACAACATAATGTAATTTCCTTGAGGGGAAGTACTATTATGTCTTTATCATTGTACCTCTGATGCCTAACACAGTACCTTGCACATAACAGATGTTTCATTAATGTCACTGAGTTTAATTGAAGTGTATTATCTTCAGGAGCAATATAGACAGGCACTGTTGACTTGGGCATATGGGATCTCTTGTTCTCGTCTAGTTATGTTACAGGGGGAATTGTAAAACTAGCTATTTCTTTCCTGTGTCCACTTCATTTTGCAAAGCTATGCATCCTGCATCCTTTTTTATCTCATTCTCTCAGTCATTTTCCTAGAGTGTCAAAAGTTTTGGAATTGCCTCATGTCTTTCTCTTCAGAGATCAATCCAAGAGAAGCTGAGTTCAGTTAGTTTCTCCATTTTCACAGTCCATATGCTGCCAAAATGTGTATGTAGATTGTATGTTCAATGCATTAAGTTAGCTAGCCACCTAAAGGGATGAATCCTTGTGGCAACTCAAAAAATCTTTTGAAATCAAGTAATCAACAATTCAGCAACCATGTAGTAAGTGCCCAATCTATGGAAGGTTCTAGTTGATAACAAAGATGGAAAGTAATATATTCTTCACCCTCAGGGAACTTACAATCACCTCTTGACGTATTAATTTCATAGTCATAGAATTTTGAGTCAGAAGAAATCTTAAAGATTTCCTAGTCCTGACCTTATTGTTGCTGGAGGAAACTGAAATCCATAGAAGTGAAATGACTTGGCCCCAAATCATAAAAGTAGAATCACAGATTTAGAGCAGGAGGGCACCTCAGAAATCAGGTACTCTAATCATAGAGACTTGCCTCCAAGTCACATAGTATGTGGCAGAGCCAGGATTAGAAGCCAGCTCCTTTCCTCTGTACCACACAATCTCCCTTAAGAAAGTAGCAGAACCAGAATTTGAACTCAAGTCTTCTGACTCCAAGTCCAATGTTAGAATTTTTTTTATAAAGTATACTTAAAGGAAAGCAAACCCCATGGTGCTTTTGGGTCATAATGAAAGTAAGGGATAAATCCAAGAATCATGAGTGTTACAGCAATGGGGGTTTGGCATTGGTTTCATTGTTGTTGTTTGTGGCAGAGAGGGGTTAATAATTAACTCAGTTGGTGACTGGGAATGCTTAGTCTACATGATGTCAAATAACCATCATAGCTTTTTCTCTTAAGTAGTTGTCTCCGTGTCACATAGATTTATCTTATGATTAGTTACATTAGTCATGCCTTAGAGGGAGAAGAGGTGACCTGATGTGGGGACACCAGCCAAACTTGCCCACCTTCCTTACAGGCAGTCCAGAATACTCCAAGAGGCATTCCCTTGCCCCAACTCCTTCCCATAATGGCCATTGAAATTCTGTTTTGCTTCTACCATGAATCAGAGCATAAAGGTGAAGGAGACATCTTGGAAATCATCTAATCCAACTCCATCATTCTGCAGAGGACGAAGCTGAGACCCAAAAAGGTAAAGC